TTTTTTTTTTTTTTTTTTTTGTAGACTTCCTTTGTTGTTGATGAAGTCAGTAACATCATAAAAGAGGTAATGAAACATTTTGACTTTCTTGTTGTGAAAGTTATACATTGTGTGCTAAAAAGCATTCGGGAAAACCTATTTAACTACTAAGTAACAGATTTCTAGTACAGGTTGTTACCAGTTAGGTGATTTTGTATTTAACCATTGTGTGTTTTTTAAATGAAGTGTGATACCTAGCGTTAGTTCTGATGTGCATTGCAAATTCGAAAGATAAATAATTACATTTGCTCCTCTTCTGAAGGGTGCTGTCATCATCAAGTGGACCTTGTCTGTTGCACTCTGTACAGATTTTGTGTTCTTTAACTTATGGGAGTTTTATAGGGTGTCTGCAGAGAAGTTACTCTAGCTTTGAGAGGCTTTTCCTCAAAAATGAGTTTTACGTGTTTATTTGGAGGGATTGAACTGTTCTTGTTGCTGCCTTACTTATGTGCAATATTTCAGAGGGATTTGGGTTTGGTATCTGCAGTTCTTGTAGGGTAGACTCGCCCAGTCTCTTCAGGACTGCTCCTTTTCATAACTCAGACTTCAGGATATTGGGATAGGAAAAAAGCGAGACTCAAAATACTAAGAAACAAAGAAGGGGTAGGATACAGAATTATCTTTGTATGCCCAGACTGAACTCTGAGATGCAAGTTTTAAAATAGATAGAAAACAGTTCTGTTAATCACTGTGGGTAAGATATGGTCCCACCTTCAGTGCTTCCTGGTGGTGCCTGACAAATGGACAACGTGCAGCTTGCTTTGTCTGCTTGTTGCCCAACAGGCCATAGAAACTACAATCGGTGGCAATGCCTACCAGCACAGCAAAGTGAACCAGTGGACAACAAGTGTGGTGGAACAAACTCTGAACCAACTCACAAAGCTGGGAAAACCTTTCAAGTACATTGGTGAGCTTAAATTTCTCTTTTCTGGTAAAGCWCCATGAAGGAGATTGAGGAAAAATAAAAATCGTACATGAAAGATGTTAATAATCATGTCTATAAACTACTTGTAATCTTTATCTATCTATATAAATGTTGAGTAACATTAGTGATTGATTACTAAAAGTTGCTCTCCCCCAATAGTGACCTGTGTGATTATGCAGAAGAAYGGTGCCGGACTGCATACTGCAAGCTCTTGCTTCTGGGACAACTCCAGCGATGGTAAGAGGCAAAGCTGTAGCCTTCCTCGCCACGCGCTTCCGTGTAGGCCCCTTGAGACTGGGCAGGTAGCACTTCCAGCTAGGAAACACCTGTCATCAGGGCCCAGTGGAAAAAATACCACCCTGTTGCTTCAGAACTTAATTCTTGAGGCTCTTAATGGAGAACAATTACATGTATAAGGTCACATGTATTTTCAAACTAATCAGTGTGACCTTTCTTCTGTCTCTTGTTTTTGTAGGCAACTGCACTGTGAGATGGGAGAATAAGACTATGTACTGCATTGTCAGTGCCTTTGGACTTGCAATATAATTGCCTTGGAATCACTCATCCTCCTACTCTTTTCTACTTCAGTACTGCATTCCAGCCCAACTCAAGCTGTGAAAACACTGAGCAACCTCTGTTTTTAATGTCATTTTTGAAGTAGCCTTTTTCAAATGTAGAAATGTGAAAACATGCTGTTACATGGATTACGTTTGTACTTAGGATCGTACACCAGTGTTGCCATGCTGTCTTAACACTTCAAGGACTGTTCTTCAAGGTGCTAATACTGATACCTGCTGCAGTGTAAACACTTTCTCTCAATTTCTTAAGATCAATTTGAAAAAGACACTGACTTTCACACTTTGTACTCTTGGTCAGCATTAAATTATTGAAATTCATAATCACTGGTGTGACTCTTGTAAACTTACTCTCTGACCTTTCAAAACAAAACACTTCTATTAATTCTTTCAAGAGAAAAGCAACTATGAACTTGCAAGAAAATGAGAGAGTTTATAAGATGAAGTTCTGGCTGAAGTTCTGGGAATGTTTAATTTAGTTATATATCATTATCATTTCACGTCCTGTCTTTTGAAGGAGAGGGATAGGATTTTTTTTCCACATTCTAGAAATACTTMACAAGCTCTAACCTTAGTGCTGCAGTACACCATGCAGCACAACCTTATCCAAATGTCATTAAAGCAGCTCTGTGAATATGCAGTGAATCCCAAGAACACTTTGATAACCTGCCCTGCTGCTAGTCAGCAGTAGCTCCGTGCTCGCAGCACTACTGAGCATCTGCCTGATGTGAAAAGATCTGCCCCTGAGGCAGCTGAGTGAGCTGCTCCCCTCATGGGGAGCAAGCACAGGCACCTCCGTGCAGGGTCTGTGTAGCAGGTGGTTTCAGCCCATCGTCTCTGTTCCAGGSCAGGAAGTTCCTGAGTTATGAGCAGTACTCAGAACAGCTGCAGCAGGGGAAGYTTTAGCATGTTTTTGACTTGAAAAAATGATGAGTCATGGTCACTGTCAGCAATAATACCCATTAAAAAGATTATATCAAGCTAGATGAACATGTCTGAAATATTCAACAAGGCAACTGTTAAGCTTGTCATAAATGAAAAAATAATTTCTATCTTCTGGCTGGGTGCTGGCCTCAAGAAGAAAATATTTAAGAATGGCGTTGGATTTTTTTTAAAGCTTTTCCAACTGCTACAAGCAGCACCTTGGGAAAAGAAAAAAGAGATCAAATGCCTATGCAATTAAGCAAGTTAAAACATACAGAAGGTAAAACACATGTAAGCTGAAAATATTAATATACGTTATGAAAAGTTGCAAAGGGTTACAGACATTTGCTAGAAGGAAGATAAAGCCAACCTACAAGATAAAGATATAAAACTTTATTATGGCCATATTTAACAATGATTATGCACATGAAGTCCTCGAAGAAACTTAACACTCAACTTTTGCTTGAAATAAAATAGCTTTGCTTCATAGTCCATATCAGGATTAAGTTCAACATAACATAATCATAATTTGAATAACTTACTGCCATTACACAGCTCTAACCATACAGAATATTTAACACATTCCCCATGCACACTTTTTCAAAGCAGTATTTTATTAACAGCTTCTCATTAAACAGAGCATTTATCTTACACATTTGATACCATTTTGGTACACAAGTTTTCCATAGTTTAACTTCATTTTACATATTTACAAACTTTAAAAAAGTTTTTAGTAATGCAAAAGTTATTACTGGCAAAAGCAAATGGGCAAAACTGTCACCTACAGATGCAAAGGTGTCGTGACTCATAGAAAGACCCAAGTCACCTAGCTGGAAACATCCATTTTTCCCAGATCAGTTAATGGGCATGTTGGACTGGCTGTTCTTTACTGGTTTAGAGCCTTATGCTTTCTCTTCTTCAGAGATCCTAGCGAAGTTTCCAACACTAAGTATTTTACAAAGCAAATACTACAGGAAAAAAGCARTCATTTTCCTTACAAGTCCCATGTGGTCACTGTGAACATGAAACTATTGCACTTGTTTAATAAAGACATCTTTTGGAGCAGTTTCTCTGTATACTGTGGGGGCCTGCTGCATATTTTCCCCGTTTTATACAGTTCCATGAGGGTTGCAAATACCAAATTAGTGTTACCTAAATGAAAGGCAGATCAGTCTCTTCCAGCTCCCTTCCATCTCACCCTTAGGTCACAAACACAAYACACGTTACTCAGAAGTGACCTATGCTGCCCACCCCCAAGCTGTTTACAATCTATATTGTAATATTCTTCAAACACTGCCCCTGCTTTCCAATTGTTCACAGATAGGAAAAGTGAAATTGAAACTTCTTGCTAGGAAAATATTTCCCAATCTGCTTCACTGCTTTTGCTTTTACCATATATTAAATTTGATGCCCTGATGCCCTGGCACTTTGACCAAGCTTACAGTAATGCTCTAACATTTCTGAAATGCAAAATAATTACAGGACCAAAACTGGTTAAATAATAGTATCTACAATAATATTAATAATAATTTTATAATGAGATACTTTTTGAAATGTACATTTCCCTTTTTCACCTATTTCTTTTCTGAATGTAATAATGTAGAAAAGTCAATGCAGACAAAATGGCAGACACAATGGGCTGAGAACTGCTTAGAAAAAAAAATATCCAGGTGAGATTAAAAAGGGTTTCTTCAGTTAATGAGACCCCTAAACATGACACTGTATTTTGGGGTTAATCGTAACAATCAGCTCAGACTACAGGAAACATCAGTACGTTTCACCCATCTACCAAAAGAAACATTTTGTCAAAACAATTTAAAATGGAGCCCAAGAGAGCTGAATGCATGAGAATCACATAGGTCTTGATTTCTGACTCTTCCCCCACCCCCCAGTTGCGAGGCCTACTGTTACTCCAATGGAAGCCAAAAGGATTTGGGAACAGTGGGCCACTCAGTTGGCTCCCAAGTCTGACTGGGAATTCAAGCAGCTGTACGTACCCCAAAACGGCCATCTGCGGAACACTAAAAATGAGGCTGGGGTCTCCTCTTTGGGGGATAAAAAGATCATCTCTTATATTTATTAAAGAAAAATGTCTACAGGAAATGGCAAGAGTGCAGCTTAATATTTTATTTTTCCCCGTGTGTTGTTCTAAACTACATTCACGGAGACAGCCGTCTCTCATTTCTGGCAATCTCTACTTTATCCATATGACAGTACTTTAGTTTCTACCAAATAAACAATTCTTGGTATTTAAGTTTTAACTTCCAAACATCCTTGACAATTTTCACAGCTCTGCATTAATTTCAGAAGGCTTTCACAAACACACACAGCTCATCTTGAGCAGCACACTGACTGCATCTGAGCTAGTTTGAGGAGAGCAGGGATGCAATTCCACAGGGCATTTCCTTTGATCTCCTGCAAGCAAGGTGCACTCCTGTGAAGTCACCCTTTAATTACCTTGAGCAGGTACCAAGCCACTGTTTGCACTGTTTCCAAGTGCAGGAACCRGAGGGTTTAGAACAGCTACAGCTTAAATGCAGAACAAATCTACACACAAATCTTTCTTTTTTTTCCCTCAATATGATCCAGCAAAGCTGGTAGGGCTTCACTACACACTTATTCTTAAATTAGTTTAATTATGAGTACAATTTCCTAGCGTAAGCCCCTGTCACTGTCAAAGCCTTTGCCATTGCTCCTTCATATTCCGTCATTGCTTTCTAGAGTCAGAGAAATTGTACGAGAGCACATAGCAAGTATAAATCCATGAGAAGAGAGACTTTCAGACAGGTCAAGTGCAAAGCATACAAATTGGTTAGAAATGAACAACATTCACTTAAATATAGAACTGAATGGTGGTGTGGGAGACTAGGGATTAAAAAAGAGTAGCAGCATTCATTCAAATATTGAATTCCCACATAGATCTGTCCCAGAACAGACTGGAATACAGATAATCACAAAATGGACTAGTAAAAATGCCTTCCTGTGTTGGCAGCAGTGGAGGTGTGCCTAAGGGAAAGGCAGTTGAAGTTGAGTTAGCTCAAAAGCAAATTCCTTCCAAGCTCAACGAAGGAGTACCTGTGACTGTTCCCAGAACACAGATTAACTTCCCAGTTTACATACAACTACATGGAAAATCCTCATGTAGAAAAATGAAATGAATGTTTCACATGAAATGTTAAGAAATAGTCAACTGTACCTCTCTGTGAAGCTGTGTACTCTGCAAGTGTAACAATCTTCTCCGGGACAGGGAAGAGCCAGGCTGCCTAGTTCTGTGCTGCCTTGGGTGGTTTGCTGCAGCCCCGGCAGTTTCCTCTGAAAGGGCTGCTGGGGATGGGGGAGGCTTTTGTCGTGGTGACAAATGAAGTCAGAGCTATAGTACATGAAATACCTTGCACTACATGGTCTACATTTGGGTCACTAGAACTTGATCTCTTGCGTGTATCTTGCACTTACAAYGGATCTGACAAATGCATTTAAATTAATTCCAAGGTTTTAAATTAATATTGCCTCTTCAAGGGAAGAATGGAAAGCCAGTGTTTTCTTGCATTTCTAAAAAATAATGGTAATAATGATTAAAACTAAACAGAACTAAAACTAAAACCATCATTCCCTGCCTCCAGCTCAAATGAGTAAGCTAGAAAAGGGAAAGGAAAAGAGGCACTTAGTACAGCCATGGAGCATTTGCAAAGGAACTAGCACAGGTGCAAGAGCTTAAACACAGTATGCTGTAATTAAAAAAACACAGCATGAAAGGAATTATAAAATCAACACATAATCACTGACACTTCTAAATGGAAAAAGACTTAAAGATTTTAGTCCACAGACATCCTGCTATCAGTCATTTTCTAAGACTTGTTAAAAAAAAATTTGGTTTCTTTTAAGTTTCCATCACAACTTTTTCAAGCTTTCTTTTTTTCAGTTTTGATTTTGTAAACAGAAATAGAAGCAAGATGTTGTTCCTGGCAGACAGCATTCAGATGATGACAACAGGCTGTAAGAAAGCCAAGAAAACGGTCCTTCCAGAAAAACTTAAACAGTTGCCTTGATCCCAGCTAACAAGTCTGTCCATGTCTCATCAATCACTGTCGGATTCTTCTTTATACTTGGCTCTAATAGCTTGTCCGTTCTGAAGTGGCATTTCTTCATAGTCACTCCTGTGAAAGAGAGCTTTTTTTAAAAGATCTGAATGTGGTGATCAGTTAGTCAGGTTACACCGATCAGGAAAGCTCTAAGAACACCTCAGGAATTTGCTGCCCAAGCTAGCAACACTGTTCTGTTTTGCTTCCTTGTTAGGGATAGGAACAACACAGTGACTGCCTTCCAGAGGAAGAGCCGGGGTGAAAGTGATCTCAGGAGCTCCAAGCCACAACTGACGAGTAGCGGGRGCTTCTTTACGTTAGAAGAGAAACCAGCTGGTCCTACCACTACTCCAGCTAAGCAAAGGCAACTTATCTCAGACGATCCATAGAGCTTCTCTACGCGCAAACCTCATCAAGGTCCCTTGAGTATTATCCCTATTCTTACTGTGTTAGCCCCTTCAGTATTCTCRGCTAAGAAGGGAAACCATCAAAATGAGTTTGCTCAGTCTCTAGCACAAAGAGACCTGATCTAGATGGGGTTTTAAATTCTCATAGCATAATCTCATACACAAATCCAGTAGTGTTTGCTAGACTCAACTATTCCTGTTTCAGTAAGTGACAGGCACTTAAGAAGAGCCATGAGCCCTCTCTGAGGCAATGGCTGTTTTATCCGTCATCTGCTTTTTTGCTGAGCCCCACATGACTCCTGTGGGACTTCCTGATTGGAAAGCAAGTCCTCCCTGTTCACATCTGCTGCTGCCTTCACTCTGTGTCCTGCCAGTACCCTGGTATATACCTACCTGTTTGTACTGGTGCCATGCTAGCCCTTTCTGGAAACCACAGAAGAAAAAATAAAATGGCATGCATTCTCATTTCGTTTCTGTTCCAGAACAAGGCCATGCTTTTATTCTTTAAGCTTTACTTTTACTAAAAATCTATAAAGCCCTCAGTTATCTAATTAATATGGAGAAAAAAAAATCACAAAAACAACACTCTAGAAGTAACTCTCCACAAGGTTTTTGTAGACTTACCCATAAATCACATCATCATCCGAGTCATTCAGCATAGAAAATGCAGGATTGTCTTTCAACTGTGATTCTGGAAAAATACAAATTAGGATTAATTTAGCCCATKAGACTGATAAACCTAGTGTTTCTAGGTGAAAGCCAAAGCAACAGACTTGACAGCTGCCAAGAGGTTTGTGACCATGATCCAACATCCAAGCTAGATTTCTCTCCTTTAAACTCCTCACTTTTCATCCATAAAACAGTGGTGCTGTTCAGCATGAAGGAGACGGCTAATTCTCTCTGTATTTTCAGGCAGATGTGCTTCAGATATGCTTCAGTGAGCAAATTTCCGCCTGTATGTATTTTTTAATGCCTGTATCATTTCAACCTGCACTTCAAAATATGAAGTCAAGTATTCTTATTTGAGAAGTGCAGAGTTCATGATTCTTGTAATTATTTCTAAACTACAAAAACAATAGATCAAAGTTGTATGCAAGTTACTGACCAGCCAATTACTTTTCAGCTGAAGAAAGGAGTTGTACCTCAATGAAAACATGAAAGAAAGCACACACTGTCCACTGGAAGCTTATGACAATTCCCTTTGCCTTGCCATAAGACATTTACTCCTGGAATAATCTGTTGTGTAATTGTACACAACTGAATATGATATGATAAGTAATTTGACACAAATATCTTTTTTACTAGTTGCTTTGTGTTTTATTTCAGATTTTCTATGTACTAATGCATCTTTCAATCCAGCTACATTTTTTTTAATTTAACCTCATCCAGCTATTTGTCTCATCCTTCCTAATGGAAAAATAACATAATTCTGCAATAGTTTCATCCACCTCAATTTTAGAAAGCTTAAAGTAACCAGTTCAACAATACAGTGCCTTTCTCCTGCGTAATTCCCAGTATATTTCTGTCTGTCTCTCTCTCTCTCTGTGTGTCTCTCTCTCTCTCTCTCCCCCCTCCCCCCATATCAGAGATCTTCTCCACTGCCATTTCTCCACTTCTGTATTATCTCTCTTAGAGGCAAGTTTGTCAGTCAATACCAATAAATTAACTTTATTGTTAGTATGAGCGAAATACTGTTACTCATTAAGGGTTGTCCAAAAGCGAGTTCAAACGTCGCAGCCTTACATACAACCATCACCCTGACTGCAAGCTTGGTCTGAGGAGAGAGTAAGAATTCTCGTGTAGCTGAGCAGTTGTATGCGTGCTATGTGTCATCTTAAATATCCAACACTACGTTGCTCAGCAGCAGGGCACCTYGTCCTTTACGTTAATACAAATACACTGAAAGAGTAATAAGACAACCAAACTATGAGGATATTGCACACTATCTGCTGAAATGCCAGATCTTATCATGTGAGTGAGCTTGCCTAAACTTACCATATAGTGCATTCTTTGAAGGGGAATACACGAAGGCTAGTGTGTAGAGATAAAAGTTCAATAAACCATAAAATGATAAGAATTCTGCTGGTAATAAGTGTCAAGGATATTGCTCAACATAGCTCCATACATATTAACTTTTAAAACAAGACAAAAAACTTTTGAAGCAAGACATAAAACATAGATAAGTTGCCATGGCAAAGCCTGAGAACATGAATGGCTAAACAACATTGTATTTTCTAAACGGAACAGTAATTAATGAGGCCAATCTATTCTGAGGTAAAGCTCACACTGAAGACAAAGCTTTAATTTTATGGTAAGTACTGTCTGCTGAGATAAGATCTGCTCTTGCTAGAGTGCGTGTAAAATTAAACAGTTTTGTCTCAACTGCTGAAAGAAAGCTAAGCTAGTGAGAGCTTGTCTTTTTATGTGGTTTAAAAAAAGTACTTGATTGGCATAGCAGTTGAAAAGGAAGAAGAAAGCACTGTCTAGGGACCGAACTCTAAAGATGGATTTTTGCCTTCATTTTGGGAAAATCCTAAAGGTTTTACAAACGTATCTAAGCATATCGCTTTCAGTGATTTCTGAACTAAGAGCTTCTCAAGTATTTTGGTATTCATACCAAATAGGTATATTACAAATTGAATTCAGGCAGTAATCAAATAAAGAAATTACAGCCTGAATTCAWTTTGTAATAAAATAATGTTTTTCACTATAATTTGTTAAAATGATTTGAATGCAAGCACATGTAGGCTGTCGTTCCTTCAAAAAGATAACCAATTGCAGTTATGATGTCAGCACATTAGACTGAAACTGCCTCAGCTGATAATACTTAAGAAGAGCCAGTACAAAAGGACAACGTGAAATTCAATCAGAAGGAACTGGACTTCAAAAGTCCACGTAGAAAGCAAAGGTCTCAGTCCCTAGATGCACCATCTCTAATGATCATCTTTAAAAAAAAAAGTTAATAACACTCCTCACTGAGCAGTACCGCAACACAAGGATATAATTCTGATAATGAGTCGACAGCTCGGCAACAAAGTTGTCCTGTAGAACTTGGGCTCCAAAGCGTAGATAGAGTATGACAATGCTGTGGAAAACAATTAAAGACACAGTACACTTTAAACTGCAACACTGAAATAGAACTTTGATAGAGCATTATACAGGAAAACAATCATGTTAACATGGCATGTGATAACTCTTAATACACATTTGTTTTTATAGTTATAAATTATTACTTTTATTATTAAAAATCAGTAATCAACTGAGTGAAGGGAAAGAAACAGYTTACTTTTCTTGGATTTCAACCACAGCAGATAATCCAAGAGACAACAGCAATTTGAAATAACAGCTTGGGGAAAGCAAGACAAATGCTAACCATAATCCAGAATCCTTTTCTAAGCTTCTGGTAGGAAGCTTAGAAGGCTCCAAAGGAAATGAATAGTGCACAACCGACCACTCCGCAGTACAGAAAACACCACTGCTTAGTGAATGTTCCTAGAACTGGTCATGGATTTAATACAAATTAGCACTAAAAGCCTCAGAACTGATTCAAAAATTAAGAAGTGTGCACCATAACTCTCACACTAAAAAGCTATTTCTGACTTTCACTGACAGTTTTTTTTTTTTAATCAGCAAAATGTATATTCAAAGCCCTGAAAAGAAATACAAATTATGATCTGAGAAACATACTTTGAATGCTCTTACCTAATGACAAGCACTACAAAGGTTAACGCAGTCAGGAATTTTAACCTGAGATCTGAAAAAAGAATAAAATTAATCAGCCAGATSGCTTTTGAGAGTTTGCATCTATATCTCTAAGAAAGAAAAGCCTGTTTGAAGTAGAATCAAAGGAAATACTCCTTACCAACATAAGGCATGTTACGAAGTTCTGAACATGCCCTCACTATCAGGAACAAAAGGTAGAGAATGTATGTAGTTGCCACCACAAGGAAGAAGATTTTCATTCCCTATTAAAAGAATATTATTTTTTATTATTTAACAACTTTTGACCTATTCCTTCTTTCTTCATAATACCATGGCAGTGGAAATCATTATTTACCAAACACAATACGAAATTTTCTTCAGGGAAACTAAGTCCATGAAAAGGAACTAAGGATGGTTTTGGTTTTAGAGAAACAGGGAATGTGAGGAAAGGATGTTTAATAGCAAAGATCACTTTGGACACCGACTTCACAATGAACTGAATCTCAGCATTCATCTACAATACACGAACTGCATGAATCAGATCTTCAACAAGAAAAGCAGAAATTTACTGACAGAGGATCTTGGCAAGAATAAAAATCAACAAAACCACAAAACCAACTTATCAAGAAGCTTAACAAACTGTCTTTCAAATTCATTTGAATCCMTGACTATAGTTAAGCTGCCGAGTCTCCAGATGCCTGAGGTTATTGGAAGACCATTTATTGCTCTCACTGGGATRAAGCTCAGTAAGTCACACTTACTATGTGCAATGTAAAACAAAGCAGAAACATTTCCAGCATCCTCACCACAATAAGAGCATCTGGCCAGCACTGGTACAGTCTGGAATGAGCTTTGTATTTTAACAGAAGAACAAAACACTATTCTTCGTATCATCTTTGTATCTAACTGCATATAACATAACAGAGGAAATCATTTCTGACCTACCTGGAAATTACCTGTGTCAACCCTGTACTGGTATGTAGGATCGTGTACTTCATTAACACTAGAAAAGATTCAAAATGAAAAAGTGGTACTTAGAGCAATTCTAAAGGATAAGGTCAAAGAAGGAGGGGAGGAAAAAAAAAAAAAGTACTGGCCAGAAAACCCACTAAGAAAAAAGAAGTTTCATGTTATTCTAYGAAGTTTACAGCTAAAGGTTTTAGCTGTGTAAATTGGTGCAATACCATTAACTCCAACAGAGCTATGACAATGCTCTGTTGACATGACATCCTCCTCCTYCTCAAATCTCACTTTTCAAAGAAGACAAGAGGATTTGGGTTGTCAGCAGCATTCGTCTCCCTACTTACTTTTTCAGAAATTACATGATCTTACAAATTCCTACTAGCCTTTAGGATTCAGTGTTTAACGTTCATCCTTGGTGATAAGCATTATCCTTAAGCAAAAACTGCAGTACAAGCCCTTTCCTCGCACAAATTTTGCTGGTGGGGCATTAGCACCAGRATCTCCTGCAACTGCACTGGCTTTCAACGATGAACAGTGGCATGAAGAAGGTTAGGAGATTTGTCCCTTTGAAGAAATAAAATAAAAGGCAAAGAGTTGAGGCTAGCACTGTTTCAAAATCTACAAATGTACCAAAACTAAAGCAGTTTTCAGGGTGGAAAATACTGCCTCCTTTATGTTAACACATCAGGCAGCAAGAGGATAGAAAAAAGTAAAATAAAGCTATTGTCTTGAGGAGAAATAACATTTGGCTAAGCAGTATCAATGCAAACACACAGACTGAATGATTGAGAAAGTTTCTCAAAMTGTGTAATAATTAACTGCAGAGAAACTGCTGCTTGGAACACTAAAGGCTAACTGGGAGGGCTGGAGGGTGTATTATAGGGAACTAGAACATACTGATAAAATTGATGTTTTCTATCTCTCAATCTGATTTATAGAATTAGATATTACCTACTAATTACCTACCTAGTAGGTATTACTAAATCATTCATGAAGAATTCTGTTTGCAGGTCAGTCACAATTTGCAAAAGAGGCAAGAACTCAAGCACTATAACTACCACTCCTAAACTGCAACTAAAGTGTGAAGAGACACTTACTACTAATTGTAAAAAATGTTCTAATTCTCAAACGCTTTCAGCTCATAACCTTTGTAATATATTTTAAGCTACTTACGTTTGCCATATTCCTAATGTAACAGAAGCCAGCCACAATAGTCCAACAATTAAGAATTTGGGCAGATAGAAAGTCAAGCACTTCCTTTCTCCCTGTTAAGACAGCAGCAGAGCAGTTAAGGAATGAACCCACATTTGATATCTGGTTCGTTCTTGACACAGTGAAATACTATTTCCTTTGTTTCTTTTTTCAATTGACTAGAGACACGCCATCCATATTTTCAACTTGCAAAGACGGTTACAGAATACACGAGACTGTCCTCATTTGTGTTAAATTTAAGCTACAGTAGATTTCAGGCATTTTATTGATAARGTCTCGCCTATTTGATTGATACTGTAGCTACAGGACCATGCTCCAGAATTGCTATTTTTCTTATGCAATATTTTTAGYGTAATGGCACCTTTATTCTGTAGTATGTCTTGCAATAGCTGAGAGTGAACTGTCCATCTACCTCATTCAGCCATAGYAGCGCCACAACAATCTTTTCCACTATGGATCATTTTAATCCCAAAGCCTCATAAGTCATAGCGTATTTTGAGGACAGTGTGTCACCTTTTCTTTTTAATCAGATTTTAATTTTGCCACTTTTTGAGAAAACAAAAAMCAAAAAACMAACAAACAAAAAAAAAGGACCCTCTTCCCAGCAGATACTGGTTAGCTACTATTGCACCCCTACCTGCACTCTTATTCCGTGGTATACACAAAGCCAGAACAGCAGCAACGCACACAGGAACAGTGACTGGAATAGATCATCTAGCATTCCAGGAAACCAGCTGTTGACCAAAAAAGAAAGGGGGAAAAATGGATCTGTAACAAAATAAGAGAAATAGTTTAACAGGGGAGAAAAAAGCAATCTTTTCCATTATGAGGCAAAGCAAAATCTATCTTCAGAAAAAATAAATAACCAGGTATATTACACAAGTAAGCGAAATTGAAGTTTGCCCTATTTTAAAGCAATTTACAGAGGAAATGAGGCCTCCCGCAGCAATCCTCTGTGTTACAGAAACACTCTAAAATGGTTGCCAAGGTTTCTGGAAGAGCGCATGTTTTATCAGATCTTCTGCTAAACCACTGTTCATGGCTATGACCTAAAAAAGTTACCATAGCCTGACTCAAAATCAAATATTACTTTAATACTGCTAAACAGCACTAGAATTTGATGCTGTTTATAAAGTAATCTAAAAACAGTTTTGCCTTTTAACTAAAACATTAGCATCTGGAAAAAGAAGTCGAAAGTTTTATCAGGTAAATGCAGCAACTGCATCTACATGGCACTATGCAAAAGTTTCAGTATGGCTGCGACCACTTACTACACTCAGAGTTCCAAAGAAACAGAGTAGAAAGTTTCATCACTGCAAAGAGTGAAAAATTTGCCTAACATTGTGCCTTTGAATTTGCTTGTTGGGTTTTTTTTAAGTGGAGTTTTCTGAAGCCTTACGAACAACTGCTTATAAGTTGAAGGCCAAGTTGCCATAAAAATAAATAAATACATAAATAATAATAATAAACCTATAAAGGACCCTTCATAATAAATGCTTGGTTACAAGTACCATTGTAAAGTAGCAGGAGGGGAAGAAGGATAGACATCCATTTCTGTTCAATGCCCCAGTCTCTCATGGAAAACTTTCGCAGAGAATGTGCAAACAGACACTATAAARCAAACAAACAAAATTTACTTTATAAAGTAAAGAAAAGAGCCTTACTGATTTTAATCAGAATAAAGAAATACCATAGTACATTGCAAGCCCACTTCAAGAAGATTTTGGTGCTAAGGACACTGTAAAAAGGGAGCCATCTCTCTAAGCTTCTATTTCTGCTCCCATTTTGCTGACTTGCACCCATGTAAATTACTTTTTCTCTTGGGCAACTTCAAAAGGAAACTAGCTAGCTAGCTAGAAAAATACCATGCAAGTGTGAAGTGCTTTAGTTGCTTTATTCTGAAATTCTATTTTCCATAATGATTGTTTTCCCAAAACACTTCTTTTCCATGGGCAAAACAGTGTCAAAAGTGATAGATGGTCTTAATCACAGAGTAATTTAGATTGGAAGAGACTGCGGGAAGTTATCTGGCCAACACCAACGCAAAACTGTGCCAGATCTGAAGCTGGATCAAGGTTATATTCAACTAGATTTTCACCACCCTCAAAGACGGAGAGCCCCAAAACACTCAGGACAACCTCTTCCTATGTCTGAGCACCTGCACTGGAATTTATTTTCTAACCTCTAATCAGAATTTCCTTCATTTGAGCAAAATTCTGTGTGTTCAATTCAAAATCAAGAAATCAAAAAAACAAGCCTTCCTAATTTGTTCTGTTTTCCTAATGCCCTTCCTAATGCCCTAAGTTCCTTCCTATTACCCCAACAGCTGCAACAGGAGGTCCTGGATGAGCATTTTTAGAAACAATGTTTACACACATTCATTGATACCTGAATTCTATACTGCCTGRGGTTAAGTTTCTAAACACAACACTGAAGAAAAACATCATCAGCTGCCTAAACAGAAGGAAATAAAATCTTACCGTGACCATGAAAGTAAGAACTACAAAGACAAATCGGAACCAGATTTCCACCTGTGAAAAGTTTGGATTGTACGTCTTCCACTGCAAGAAAATTGGGGGGCGGGGGGGCGGGGGGGGTGTAAAAACATGAAAAATGTTAACTCCTTATGTCATACATATGCTGTTGAAACAATTCTTGAAGGTTACTAAAAGGTTTCCTTGCTTTTCAACATGCAATCAAATCCCATCACATCAAAGGGAACAGATGAAAACAAATTCTTAATCATTTTCCCCCAAGTTAAAGCTGCTTTTTTTTTTCTGAAAAATATGGGACTACCCAATGAAGAGAGAACTAAAGCACCGTAACAATTTTGCTTCTTTTTTTTCACCTTTCAATTTCACCCTGCAGTACTTAATGCTCTGTCTTGTGTTAAAGCACTTCTCAGAACAAAGAGACTGTTTTTCATTGATTTTCATCTCATGTTAATTCAAAGTCTGAATTCCAATATTTAACTAAATCCAGCATGTTCCTTTTTACTTCAAAGGTCAGATGCATAAATTGATTATGAAGAAGTTAACACGGTGCAGTCATATTTCCTGTAATGAGCACGTTTTCTTAAGGCTTGTTCTCTTGTTTAAAAAATGTGAAAATAAAAGTAAAGGAAAAACAAACTAATGACAAATGATTTCTTTCATAGGTGATGAAAGAAAAAGAAAAAAAAAAGCTCCTTTACTCCCCAGACTAATATGAGGTTGGAAATATTGATTTTTACATGTCAGTTTGCATAAATTCTCCTGTGTTTAYGGCTTAACATATATACTGCATGCTTCTCTCTTGAAACCACTTTTGAAATGTACAGGTCCTGGTACAAGATATGCTTGGACAAGAAACTTTACCCCGCTGTGTAATGAGTTCATTGACCTGTCCGCGKTTTTTAAGTTGTAAAGTTAAAAAAAAAATATAGAACATCCCTTTAGACACTAGCCAGTKTGTGATTTCAGCTGGGATCATTACACTGGGATCACTACTATTTGCTGYGGGCAACCAGGGCTTTGGATTTGGTACGTTTTGTTTCTACATGCAAGTCTACAATGTAATGTGATAAAGGGAATCACTAAAAGCTCCAACACTTCACCCTGCTTAAAATCTGGGACTAAGCAACGGGTTTGAAAGCTTTTTTTTTTTTTTTTTTTAATATAGATTTTTATTTATAATGTCTTCTATCATAAATATCAATAGACCTRGAGTTCACTTAGCATAACAAATACCATCTTTTTAATTACAGTAACATTCTTGCTAGTTGCTTTCTAGCTGCTCAGATACAGAATTCTACTTACAAGTGCAACATAACATAGTAACCCATATCATAGACTCAGGTTAATTCCATTTTCTCCTAATGCAAATGTTACTAAACTTCTTTATACATTTAGCACACGCTGACAAAACAAATAGTTTGTAAACACTGTTTAGTACTGTGAACTTAGTTATTTCATTAAGTAATGCCTGCTTATTTTGTCTGAATAAGCATTTTTTCTTCATATGCATAGTCTTTTTTTTTTTTTCCTCTCCTCTTTTTTTCCCCTCCATTTGCTTATCAGTTTGTTGTGTCTTTCCAGCTCATGCTTTTGGAAAATTTGGAGAAATGCTGCTAATTGAGACAGAGCTACCAAAATGGCATAAGAGGACACCATGCTTTGGAAAGCCAATGCTTGTATAAGCAAATGCCGAAAAGTGGATGTTCCAGCCTAGCTTGCCTATTAATTATTTAATTACCAGCAACTACACTAAAATTACCTACCCTAGCAAACAGCACTCCTAAGCTCTTCTGAAACAAAAGTCTCTCCCCACAGGTTTAGGCAAGCTGATCTTACTAACAGCAAATGCTACAATAGTTCTGACATTAGCACTGAAAGGAAATTTCATTGTGATGCATCGTTCTGTTTCCTTGCCAAAGTAACGTAACTTTTCATTTTTAGTACTAATAAAGCAGACTTATACAGCATTAGTTAATAAAATTTTTATACTTACTGTGAAAGTAATATTCTGGATAGTGTAAGTTAACTTATCTAGATCTTCAAAGTTTACAAATATGTTGTACTGAGTATAGTTCAGGTAGCCAAGGTGAGCAACGATGATTTCAGTACATTTCTGTGAACACACACAATGAAAAATAGCATGTAACGTCCTTCAATTTATTCCACAATACACACTGGTAGTTTAGACAGAAAAATAAGTGTTTTAAAATGGTCAGATATGGATGACACTTATTATCTGTCTCTCAGTCTTGTTATAAGTCAGAGCACTTGCTCAAGCAAGGCCTGTAGATAGAGTATTCCTTCAAAGCTATCAGACAAAGCAGAAGATACTGTCAAAGCAGTCAGCAGGATAAAGGTCAAACCAATAAATACAACTGATTTTTCACTAAAACGRGCAAAAGAAATTGTCTACAGCTCTGGGAAGGATCTGGACAACTCTACCAGTCAAATGCTAAATCACCAGAYGGTGAGATGGGACAATCTTATACTAATTATTTTTTAAGCTAGCATGAGGAAGGAGAAAACCCAAGCGTGTTAGTCTCTTGTTGCATATAATTAAACCTAAAGGGACATTGAGTTCTCTAATTGCTGTAGATTTTATACATGAAAAGTCCCAAATACTTGATTTATACTATATGCTTATCAGAAAAAAAACTTAAGCTATGCCTTCCTAAAAGATTTTAATCAAGTTTAACATTTTCAGTTAAAATTATACCAGAAATCAAATACTGTAAACATTTCCTCTCAGATAGAAAGRAAATTGGCTTTTTCAAAATCCATATTCTAGAGGGTTTCAGCCAGACTCTCTGCTACGTGCTGGGTGAGATCCCATCTCCCACTACAACACTTCTAATGTGTTTAACTGACTAAACAGCAAATACTGCATGGCTGGCAGGGAACCAGGCTAACAAGAAACAAGACGTAATGCACATGAGTCATGCAAAACAATAATAATAACAACAATAACAATAATAAATACATAGGTAATTAGATAGCTTGCTCAGGTTTACTAGCACAGTTTTTACCATAAATGAAACCCTACTCCAACTTTTCCATGAGACTTCCTTATCAGATACATGCTTCTCATTTATGATGTCATGTAACAGGCAYATCAAGTTTTATTAGAGTTCTGCASCAGAACTGTTCTTACAAAGGCACGTACCTGTGCACAGTTGAGCAATCTTGTCCGGTTGTGAACCTGATTATTAACAAACGGCGTGCTTCCATCCTTCACCACCCCCAGCACTTTGACTGCCATGGTCACGTTCTTCTTGAGGGATACTGCAATTGAAGAGAAAACATTTAGCTACTGCTACATGCACACGTAGCACATGCACACAGGAAATTGCAAACAGAGTTCAGAACACATAAAAGCCAAAAGATGACTCAAGTTATTCAGTTATACTTTCTAGAGTGGGAAAAAAATGATATCACGCTTCTTATTTATACATTCAGGCAGTAAGTCACAAATGCTTGGACTGAATCTTTAAAGATTACAATTTCCAATAAAATAATTCATACATACTTACAGTCATCTTATTGCATAATTAATATTACTTATAATCTACATATCTAATAGTTTCAAAAATGGAGGAACAGAGAGACGGATTTTCCACATGCCATTGTTTTCTCAGAAATAACGAACAACTTATCCCACAAACACGCCACCTCCAATTCTCAAGGTTAGTTCTGTCCATGCCTTTTCAGGGGGGCAGGAAATAGAGAGGGAGAGACTATTTCAGAAGAAAAACCTACAGCCATAAAACTACGCATCACATATCTGACATGCATGAAACTACAGACCTTGTGTGCATAACCAAGGYATTAGAGATAGGTGAAATTCTCACCATCATGCTGATCCAGCTCAACTATGCAGGTCAGCCACAGCTGCTGATTGTAAGTAGACAATGGTGGTGAACTTAAATTAAATGGTTTCAGCTGTAAAAAGAAAAACAACAAAAAGTTACTACCAGTTATTAGGCTGTATCATACATCTGGGCATATAATGATCAAAGGAATGTTACAGGTGCGTGTGTGAACTTTTTGGGAATAGATTTAACATGCTGCTGTGCTGACTGTATGAATAACATCCTATCTAATTTTAAATACTTTAATGAGAGAAGTAGTTTAAAAATGGCACTGAATTCAGAACGGGCATGAGTAAAGCACATAAAAGCAGCAGCAAAAAAGTAGAGATAAGAAAATCCTCAAAATAAGAAAAAAAATCTAGCACTCTACATGAAGAGTTAGATTTCTAGCCCTCMATCTGCTCCAATAGGTTTTCTAAAAATTCCACCTTAAGTTCACAAGTGTTGAGCATATCATTAACAGATAAAATCCACACGCAGGAATGACTTTTATTATTTTATATAAACCTAAGATTTTTTTTTAAATCCACCTAAGCTTTCAAGAAAATGAATGTGAGCTTTAGAAAGCTGCATCTCACTGCCTCCATCACTTGACACTGAACAATGAACAAGACAAAGAAATACTCCTTCCCAACTGGCAGAAAGGGAAATGAGAGGAAGGAGATTACCAGTTGTCACCAACAGCACTGCTTTTCCATTTCTGCTCTCAATTTCTCTTAGTAGGTCTTTAGAAGAACCTCCATCATGCATTCACTAGGGAATCCTATCATTCAGTGTTACTTTATCAGAAATTACTGTAAAGATGTGTCACCTAACTCAAAATTCCCTGCCTTCCCCACTAAGGCAACCTGCTCACAGGAGACTAGAAATTGCTGCGGTGTCATTCCTGAAATACATAGCAGTAATAAAAAAATCTAACTGCTTAAAMTATAAAATAATTTTGAAGTGGGGCTGATGGATGGAGGAGAGTAGAGAGATGTGTTCAACCATTGTCATAAAATAAGTAAAGCCATTCGKGTAATCCAACAATATATCTTAACTCTTACCTTCAGGCTGTTATTTAAGTCAGTTCTTGCTACAGAAGTTTCAATAACATTAGGACCTATACAATATAGTAATAGAAAAAAAAAAGAATATTGATGTATATTATTCATAAGCAACAATATAAACATGGTATTTCAAAAAATTGTACAAAATAGTTAGGAAGCATCCCTGGGAGGCACATAAGTAACAGCCCACTTCACCAATGCTTAGGCAGACAGGTCAGTCGCTCAGACATATAAATATCTTAATAATCTTGGCCTGATTCTTTTTCCCCACCTAATTTCCTTTAMGCATTTCTTAACCATAAGCTTTCTGAGCATGATTACATAGTTTACATAGGTATTTTTCTCAAGTTAAGGTCTGGATACACTGCAGGCATGAAAGTACTTGGCRAGAGAAAAAGTAGCTAAGTGTCAGTAACATTGCTGCAACAGCAGCCTGAAGCTCCACAAAGGGCTGGAAAATACACCTGAAAAAGCAGCCTAACAGAGTGCACTGAATTCCCAAGCCACCCCAAACAAACTGCTCCCATTCCCTGATGTACTAAGCTAATAACATTCATATTACCTCGCCTTTACTGCTGAGATGCTAGGGAAGAAACGTCCCTTTGTACTTGAGTGCATGACGTTGTCTCTTTTTTGTGCATCTAGCGCATACTTGTTTGTATAATCGCAACAACAGTACTTTGTGCTAAGTGCTGGATTTTGAATCATATTGGTCTCTTGAAGTAAAATTCCCTTTGTTTTGGTTTATGACAGTTCTCAGTTCTGAGTGGGCCCTCCTTTTCTACAGAAGTGTGCAGATGGTAGTGTGTGCAACATATCAATATAAACATGTGCACACACATCTCTATACATTCACATAAATAAATACAAATTGCATAAGAGTTCTATATTGAATTTCTCTTAAAATATATACTTCATTTAATCAATGGAGTTTCACATTCAGTTGTAGGAGACATTCAGTTCACTCAGACTTTTCACCCAACTGCTCCTCCAATCATTCTGGATCCAGTCACATGCACTTCACAGACATTAATCARCTGCATCAGTCCACTCCTATCCTGGCTCTAGCTCTGTATGCAATAACAGGGGAACCACAGAATCATAATTTATGTTGGAAGAGACTCTAGAGGTTACCTAGGCCAAAACCCTGCCCAAAACAGGCACTATTGGATCAAGCTGCTCATGCCCGTCAAGTCCCAAATACCTCCAAGGACAGAGATTCACACAATCTGCTCCAAGATGTAACCATTTTTATAGTGAAAAGTAAAACAAAATTAAAAATGTAATATCTAATTGGACTTTCCCATATTTCAACTTGCATTAATTGGCTCTTATCCTTAAAAAAAAAAAAAAAAAGTCTAGCTCCATCTTCCTTACACTCTCCAGTAAGGTAGTTGYAGGCAGCAATGAAGTCTCCCCTTTGCCTTCTTAGGCCTGCAAGAAGGCATGGTATTTGCGAGAAGACGTAAAGATACAACAGTATGCCTATGTATGTGCACAAACTAAGATTGTAAAAATTAAAGGAAAGGAACAGAAAAGATCTCTATCTACACACTGGGTGTGGAGGACCACAGAGGAGATATATAACAAGTTGGGACACAGGTAGGACATACATGTGTATATTTGGACCTAGAGGCTTCCCAGGCACAGATTTCCCCACCCAAAGGTTCTTGCCCCTTACTTATTTGGTCTGTCAACTTAATCGGAGTTATTAGCCCTCAAAACACACGCTGTTTCAGTCACAAATTTCTCATTAAAAATATGAAAGCAAATCAATTATTGATAAATAACATAGTCTAAGTTAATATGAAAAAACACTGGAAAGGAAGGGAGTTTATAAATGAGCAAYATAGACTCTTTATAGGCAGAAGTACTTTAGGTTAGCTGTCCTGASAGCTCCGAGCATGCAGTATTGCTTGGGAATCTACAAGCACTCTAATTACAATAGTGACCACCCATACTACTGACTTGAAATAGAAAAATCAAGTATTGACTATCACCTTTAGAACATCATATTAAAATTCWTTCCAACTTCACCACCAGCCACCTGCTACAAAGTCAACACTGAATTACTGATTTTTTTCAGTTCTCAAGGATGTACAAAACCGTCCAGTTTGTTGTTTGGAAAGCTGTATTTGTTTTAAAAAGCAGAGTGACATTTCAATTAGTGGTTACAGTTGATATATTATTATATTCCAGTAATTATATAACAAARAATGATCTTTTTTAGAGGTTTCTTTTCTCCCTTTTTTACTAGAAGTTATTAAAAAATACTGGAGTAGAATAGGGTCATAACCCCAGCTTTTAAAAGCAGCAAGCAAAAAATTCATGAGGTTCTAGGGCAGTTACAGTAATTGCAATTTTTTTTTTTTTTTTTTAACACAATGTATTAAAGCTTCTTAAAACAACAAACCAAAACGATGCTGTGGTCACATTATTAAGAAACAGTGATTAAGTAACATCGTTGTTTTCCCTTTAGTCTTGCCAAGTGAACAGAACCATACCTAACAGCAAAGAACCCCACTAAGTCAAGGAACTGAAAAATCATGCTCWTGTACAGAAAAGCTCAGTGTCCTGCATATTCTTTGGACTTGTCTCAAGATGCTCCCAAATGGCATGGACACATGGATCATAGGGAAAATAAAGGAATTGGAAAGAAACAGCTACCTCAGATTCAACCATCCTCTCTCAGATGAGAAGAGCTCTGTTAGGTCCCTAAACTGCAGCTGCTGATGCTGAGTATGAGGAATGGCATGTACAAGCAGCACAGCTGACATCTTTGCATTTACTTAGTGGGTTTGGTGAGTTTTACTCACTGCGCACCCTTGCATGAGTGAGCACTGTTTCGGGAGCACCTCTCTCCCTATTCACAGGAAGCTGTCAACAAAATCCACGAAGAGCATCACAGTTTATGCGTTCAGTGGTTCTCCTCCCAAGGTAAACATAATTCTTTTTAAAATAATTAAGCTGTAATAATGCACTAGATCCCTGCTCTGTCAGTAACCTGGCAAGCAGAGGACCAGAATCCCACAGCAGTGGCAGTTTCTGAAGGGAACTGTGCTCGGCACATCCAAGTCTCCTACCACTGCAGCATCACCTCAGTGCACGGGCACACACAGTGCTCTCTTTCAAGGGTTTCTACTCATTAGGAAGAAAATACTCAGCTTTATCTTCCAGGAACACTGCTCTCTGCCCCATCATAAATTACTATAGTTTTTGGCACGTTCTTGCAGCTGTGAATACACAAGAATCATATATAAACACAGCACTGCAACTATGACTCACTTTTTAAGCCAAATAGGAAATGACACTAAATTTAGTCTTTCCAGCTTTATACTTAATCATTCATTTAAGATGTGATTTTATAAATGTGTTTATGTTGTATCTTAGGGGTCAAATAATACCCTTCAGCATCAAGTCACAAGCCACAAGGAACATCACCATTTTATTTTCATGAACTGGAAAGCAGTCTATGTGGGATTTAGGCTTCTACTGTAAGTCAAATAGCAGCAAAAAAAGGTCCTACTTAGCAGACAGATTTTATTATTTAATGCTATTATGAAGAGCATCCTGCCTATGAAGCATGGAGGGACAACAGCTGTCTCAAACTAACCATCCCTTCTTCCCCAGGCAGGCAGGAGCAGCTGAGTCACAAGGATCCATGGGCCACCTCACTCTAAGAGGGACAGGCACGTAAGGATGGGTAGAAGAGAGACCATCAGGGYAGGATATCTAGCTGAGAGTAGGAAGCCTCCACATCACCCAGATATACATATATATATTACCTATCTATGTCCCATTTACTTGGCTTAGAAAGGCAGGATGGGGTACAGGTAGCAACAACTTTACGAACCAACCCTCAAGAGAAGTGTCAAGGAGCCAATACAAGAGAAAATCCTGGTCAAGGGAAAAATAATTAGTAAATTTGGGGGAGTTTATAAAGTCTTAAAAATATGTTTAAGTAGGGGAAGAAAGGGTTGCTTAACGAGCATGATCATTCTCTGCCTGCTCACATTACTTCTATGAAGACAAAGCTGCCCTGAGGCACCAGGCAGCTGTCTAGTAAAATGAAACTGCTGACTTCCTTTTCAAGTACCTCTTGGACCTGAAAAGACTGCCTGCTGTGAAACACAGCAGGCTCATCTCCAGGATAAGTATCCAGTCACTAATAGTGCTCAGTTTTCCATGTTATTTTGTGACTCTCACAGAAGCCTTCAAAACTGAAGAACTAATTTCATGCATGTTCAACAACAGAAATTCCTATTTTTACATTACTGAAATGTTTTATATTTCTGCGGCACTTATCATTCAACATTTATAAGGCTTTACAAACAATCATCAACTTCCTAAGAGTAGATCAATATTAGCAGCATTATTTTACAGATGGACATACAAGTAAGAAAATTAATGCAGCAGTCTCAGGGAAAATTATATTAAAATGAAGCTTACTTTTTCCTTTTTATTTTAGCTCCTGTCCCCTGCAAAGCAAGGCAGGCCAGAAAACCTACCAAAGCTGTGTAGGCAGCATTTCTCTGAAAGAATGAGACAGAAGAAACAGTCGCCCCTCCCTGTAAATCCTAAATGCTGATTTACAGCAAAAGCTCCTCAGACATCTCAGGGGCACTAAGCTCATTAGTATCTTAACACCAACACATTTAGACAAAGTAAACAAAAACTTAATATTTTAAAGACAACAGCATCCTTACCTGCTATTCCTATGAAGACTGTCAAACCAAAGCAAACAAAAAATACTACAAAGACCAGGACAAAATGCCGCTTGGACAGGGTATATAACCGCATGGGTGCCAGCCTACAGGAAACAAAAGAAAGCAGAGTGAGTTGCAAGTCTCATTTCCAGAGGAAAATCAAAACAGTGTCTTTGATAACATGTAGCAACAACAAGATCTGACAGTAATACTGTTTTATACACAAYTGTAATTTACAGACAATGTAATAACAATTACTTAGGCTAAGAATACATAAGTATGCACACATGCACCTCCAAATGCACAGATTTTGCACATTCATTTTTATGATAGTTTTCTCTTATTCTAAGACTTAAGCGAGAGGAAACACTTTCTAAATCAGAGAAATAAGAAAAATTGATTTATTTTTAATTCCTATGTCAGCAATTTAGGTTTCTGAGATACCGTGTCTGTTACGGCAACAATTTAAGCTAAAGGGATTGTCAACACTGCAATAACTCAGTTACCTGCGCTTGATCTTAGTACCCTAAAGTCAAACTTCATCCTTGTAGGAACTTGCCCTAGAGGAACGACCAGGGAGTAGAACAGAGCTTCAGACCGGCTACTCTTGCAAGCTCAGGCTCTGAACTCATGGCTGAGCTTGTTCACAGCTTGGGAAACAGAAACTTGAACTGAAGTTTATCACTAGCCACTTAAATGGAAAAACATATAAAGCAATGAATTCTCCTCGCCAATCAGTTGGTGTACAAATACAGTCCACCTTCCACTAACATTGGGCTAAAGACAAAATAAAAAAGTATTGAAATAACTGACTGCATTCTCTTGGAAATAGGGAACTTCCAGCCCTGTTAGCGTAAGGGAAATATGACCCAAAAAGATACTGTTTATCATATCCCTTCTCTATCACCTTCTTCCTTAAAGGAACAGTTAAAAAAAGCACACAGACAAACCTCATGTTTCAAAATACATCTAGCACTTAGCTTTGATTTAAGTCAGAAATCCTTCAGTATAAATTTASTTTTCTATTGCTGTATTAGTGGGTACAATTATTAGAAAGCCATGCTGTTTATACAGTAAATCTGTATGTTTGGGGTATGGTGGTGGTATTTTCTAATAAAACTGTATGAATAACACACAAATGCACAATCATCGAAAGAAATTGCTCTACATTGACCACATTAAGGGTGGGGGCAGCCTTTCCATGAGTGCACCTCACAGCCTGTGAGGACCCAGCAAATCTGCTAAATAGATCTTAGAAGCAAGGGAAGTAACTCACACTACAAGATTAAATAATCATCTCAGTTTTAAGCAATTGAACTCTCTACAAACAAATCACTACTGAAATAATGATATTAATTCTTTACAGTAAAGTTTGACATATCCTAATCTTAATTTGGTGATGGGGAAAAGGGAAAAAACAGAGCAGGAAGAACTGCAAGTAAGTAACCGTACACATTGCAAGTTTGCACAGCCTGGCTTTACAGGACTCTTTGAGATAGCACCTGCAAACACAGTTCAACTTTCCTCCACATGCCATTATGCTGAGGAAAAAAAGAAAAAAAAAAAAAGAAAAAAAAAAAGAAAACAACCAACCCACAAAAGTGTTAGAAGGCAGAATAGTTGATCAAACAGGGGGGAAAAAAAGGATACATTACACATGAAATTATCACAAACATGAACAGCACAGAATATATTCTGACCTCAGCTGAATCACATGGATGTTTCACAGGTAAATATGATTTTAAGTGGACTTTGAAAAATTCCAAGTAATGAGCATTTCAGACTAGGCCATGTTTGCACAATTTTTGCAGCGATTTAGTTACACCACACTGGTTAAACCAATATTTAACACTGCAGTCTTGATGCATTTAAACCACTTCAAAGCTACTTTATCTCCATAGGATAATGTCCTTTTTTAATACTATCTGCAGTGCTCCAAGGACTCCTTCAGTTCTATAAAGGATCTGATATTTTCTACCCAAGAATCTCATTCATGAGATATTGTCTCAATTTATACAAATACTAATCTTAACAAGTAAACACTTAGTATACAAAAATGCTGATATATCCAAATTAAATGCAAGGGTTCAAGTGGACACCAACCCACTCATGGTTCATGGGAGAGCACCCGCTGAAAACTACCCAGCATGCACAAGAGCTGAAAACTGGAAAAGCATCGTGTACAGAAGGGGAAATATAACATAAGCTTGCACTGCTCTTACAGCTTATATCTGAGCACCCACTTGGCAGCTACAATCTGCTGCAGGGTATTTTTGATTTGCAGTGCACATTCTGTGTTCCCCTTTCCACATGCTTCCTAATCCACCTTTCTGCAAGATGTTTCCAAATGCATGGAGTGAAGTTGCCCCATGTSCCCTGTACTTGCAGGGAAGGGCACAGAGCTCACTTCAGAAGCGCTTCACTTGGCGGCGAGAGGCACCTCGCAGGCCGCAGCACAGAYGCGCTCGCAGGCTCTCCGGGAGACACACGCCACACACTGGCTCTTTCTTCACTCTAAACCATCTCTGGACAGCACAACACCTGACAGTCAAAACGCTCAGTGCCTGTATGAATTTGGCCGTGGCAGGTAAGAACAGTCATGCTGGTAATTCCCCAGGAGAGGAATCTATCCAGAAGAGGGACATATTGATCTCCTCTCTTCTCTTACACTGATATTCCTGAAGTCTTAGTTAAGGCACTGACTATACAAATGTGCTATTCTACAGGCCAACAAAGCAAACACGGATCTGTCCAGAAGAATTCAAAGCAAAAGAACAGAGTGAGGAGAAAACAGGTGAAACAGCATATACTGGGCACAGAACATACCTTGAGAGAGTTCAGCTATGACATTTACAAGACTAGATGAATGTAGATGCTGAAGAGCAGTCACAGGATTTGTTCAGAGATGAATATAGGCAATTAAAACACCTCCAACTTGGCCCTCATCTTTCTTGGGTTGTTTTATCAGAAGCTATCACAGTTTGGTTTGTATCTGTATTACCAGCACTCAAAAATTTTATCACAAATCACAAAGTCTAAGGTTGAGCAGGAGGGTCTTTAGACWTCTAGTTCTTGGGATTTTATAACTGAACAATTTCAGCTCTCAAACAGAAAAAAAAAATCCATTCATTTCTGGCCATTCAAGTTTGCAAATGTAAAATTCTACACATAAAACAATCAGTCACAAAATAACTGAAACACAGAAGACAAACTATTTACATTTCTTCACTTCTCACAACTGAGTGCAATGTTTGAGGAGAATGAATACACCAAAGTAAACATACCAAGATATAAAAAAATACCTCCTGAAAAGGTTGTATCTACTAGCAGGGTAGAGTTTGGAAAGAAAGGCAAGAAGAAAACTAGGATTAAGTGTTCAGGCTGAAAAAAAATGATAGAAGTAATCTAGGAAGAGAAATAAATGTTATAAGCCAGACTCCCAGAACATTTTAAAGGGGGGATGTCAGACAATGTAAAACTCATTCATAAATATTAACCTCTGCTGGATCTGATAAAAGTCCTGCAGCTGTTGAGTAAATTTCTGTGTGATCAGCGAAATTAAGGGCAGTGCTTCATACTCCGAACTGGTTTGTAACACGCGACCGGCCAGCAGAGCAGTACTGCACAGTATCTGCAGATAGAGCAGGTTGCGTGGCCCTACTGGTCAGGGGTCTCAGAAATGCTCCCTAACACTGCACCAAAGTGCAAGCTCTAGAAAGCACTAACCTAAGGGAGGAATGTTTTCAGRAATCTTCCACATTTTGGAAAGAGACAGCTCTAATTGCGCTCCTGATTTCACAGTAAAGTATCGTGCAAGGGCAGCAGCTTGAATAGCTTAGGAAAGTATTTTAAATGAAGCGTTCCCTACAAATTTGAAGCGGGGAACAACAGCTCATCTTTGTAACCTACCCACTTGACTGACACGTACAAACTATRCTTCAAAAGTGTTATAAGTTATTCTCTTTTAGCTACAGGAACCTTACACCTTARTATGATTCTCTTACCACTTTGAACTGTATTTTCATTAATGACTAGCAAAAGTTACAAGTATCTAAGATTCCTACAGGTCCACAGCAACTTAATGAGGAACTGAAACCAACAGAAACACACTGGGAACTACCATATTATGCCACAGAAATACAGAATTGACAGAGAATATAACTTCACAGTCAAGCAATATTAAATTAACTTCCTTCCAATGKAAGGAAGAGCACTGGAAAAACTTGGCAAGCCACATATCTCAGAAATAAACCTGTTTGCATTGGTATAAACATAATGAGTTGTCTAGCTTGGCTGTGACACTGCAGGTATATTGACTGTTATGGGCAACTTTTGCACTTTGGGAGCACTTTCTAAACATTCACATGAGCAATCAGTCTTCAGCCATCTCTTGAATCATTTGCTATGAACCTACTGGCTTCAAATTAAGCAATCAGACAGTGCTTTTACCCAAACACTATTAAACATCAAAGACTTAATTCACAAAAAGTTGATAGCAGCAATCCAGAAGTTTACACCACAGCATTTACAACAACACTAAAACAATATTTTAGTGCTGTTGTAACTCTCAGAGTTACTGTGTAAAAATACCTCCCGCTTTTAAATCATGACAATCATATAACTGTTTTGGTTAAGAGCAAATGTAAGAATGCAACAAAATCTTAACTATGGTTATAAGAGCAAACAATAATTAATTCATTACTATCCAGTACTATATTTTTCATTGCATCTCCATGCACTAAAAATATATCCTTGGGTTATTAGTGTCTTATTTCAACTTATCACTGGCACATTAAATGATCTTCTCATATGCTCACTGTTTAGCATCTGTCTTTTGGAAATATTTTATATTAATTTATGAATATCTATAAGGTGATGATTTTTCAGTAACAGCCAGTTTTACATCTGAAAGGACAAATAAAAACGAGAAATGTGAAAGGTTTTTATAGGAAAGGCAAAGGACCCTCGATCTGGAAGCACTTGTTCAAATAGGTTAAAAAAAAAAAAAAAAATAGTAGTTTTATCCATCCTCTCTAATCAGCCCATATGGCCGAGCCTGTCTGAAGCACAAGACTAGCCAAGCAAGTGCTAGCAGATTTCTCAGGCAGGCTTAGCAATCTGTACCAAATTTTATCTTGACTCAGGCAGATCTAATTATGTTATAAATAAAATGAGTATGTTTAACATGCACTGCAAAGAAGCAGAAAGTGCAGAGATACAAATGGTGAAATATTACACATCTCATACAGCAGTCAGGTTATTTTAAAAAAATCAAACTGTACACAACACAGTCTGTGTTAGCATGAACTATGGAAACAAATGCTCACAGACACTCAAAAGTTTATCTAACTGCAGCCTTTCWGGAGCTATTCACATGTGAGATTTAAAACCAGGTTTACCTTCATTCTTTGACTAAAGTCTTGACTCAAACTGTTAAGTAAAGTATTTGTCTCAGGCTATTCCTCATCTTCAAACCATTTCCCTTGTTTGCACAACAGCCGGTACTATTGCCCTCTCAGGAAACACAAATGCTTTTACAAAACACTTTTCACTTAAGAATCTGACTTTACAGATGGAGAGGCTGTGAGGCAAGCAGGATTAAGCAGTAGGTAGCCAGCGGCTGCTATCAAAAATAACTCACCCGTCTTTATGCTCTGTAGCTTTTTTCTCTGACTACTAGCCCATATATTTCRCTCCAATTTGATTTAAGCTTTTACATGTGCTATCTACCTGCACACACTGCACATTCTCACCGCTCAGATTGCTTTGGTAACCCTCAGCAGACCTTGATTCCTTCCTGCAGATGCATTCTGCTGTGGTTAACAAAGAAGGAAGCATACAATTACATGAGGAGATACATACAACTGATATTAAAAACCCACGCACCACTGTTATATCACAACAGACAGCTAACCATGTCTACACTACACAGCTCAAAGGGCTTTTTTTTTTTGAATGACTTCTTTAAATGAGGTTTTAAAGAATTAGTCACAATTGTTTCTCTATCCATGCAGACAGGCATCTGGGAAAAGAAGTTCGCTTGTCTTTTTTTCTTAACTTTTTTACAGCCTCTGAGTAGAAATACAGATTCTTATTCACCAAGATAGACAGAAACTCAGCATTCTCCCAAGCAGTGGATCATCACTCTCACAGCTTTCCAACTTGCAGACCAGAACCTCGTGAAAACTCCTTCCAGCCCCCAGCGACCCCACTTCCCAGAGGAGAGCCCGAAGGCGCACTCAGCACTGCCATCTCCCTGCCTTCAAGGGGGCAAAACCGCCGAGCAGCCCCGACGCGGCACGCGAGGGCTCCGCCTGTCCCTCCCCGAGAGCAAACGCCTCCCGTTGCTCTCCCGCGGCAGCGTGCGCCCCGCCCCAACGGCCGAGCCCCGCAACGGCCGCGCGCCCAACGGCCGAGCCCCCCAACGGCCGCCGGGAGGGCGCCGGGCGCGCGCGGCGACC